GTGTTCCTGCTGCTGCTGCTGGTGTTCGTGCTGCTGCTACTAGCTATTCCTGCTTCTGCTGCAATTCCTTTTCTCTTTCTGCCCACGGAATATGAATTTATTCATATTAATTAATTTATATTAATAAATTATTTTTTTGGTTTTATTTTTGTGTTGATGTATGTTTCAGGTTCAACTGCAACGAGGCGTGCAACTTCGCTCCGCCGCTGTGGCTGCAGTGGGGGCAGAAAGCTATACGCAGCTACCGGTATATGAGGTCTACCTGTATTCCCTATCAGCAGCTGGTGCTGCGTTCAGCTCTGCAGTGTTCTGGTGGTTTCTCAGCTCGTCAGCAGCTTGAGTTGTGTCGTGCTGTAGCTCGTTTGCTGCTGGAAGAATATACTGGGCGTTGTGCTGCAGCAGAACAGCAGCAACTTGCTGCTGCACCCATGCAGCTTGCTGCTGGTCAACTTAACCTCGTAGAAGCATTAGATCCAGATGTTAAAGGGTGGAGACAAGACCTAAGAAAACTTCTCTCTTCTCTCAGCAACCTGCTGGTGCCTCTACCCTATGGGGAGGGGGAGGGGGGGGGGGCCCCCAAAGATGAACTGCTGCAGCGTGCTGCTGATGTGCTAGCACTACCCGTCAAGGACTGCAGCAGCTGCAAGGCTTGTTGTGCTCTTACTTGTGTCTCCTGTTGTCACCAAGAAGAATATGTTTGTTTGGAGTGTATAGGCAGCCTCTCCTGCAGCTGCGCTCAGAGGGTCGTGCTCACGCGTTTCCCTCTCCCTACACTTCGTTTTATATATCAGCACTGTCTAGACACCCTGATGCTGTANCAGCAGCAGCAGCAGCAGCAGCAGCAGCAGGAGGGTGGAGAGACAGCGACTGCTGCTGCTGCTGATGCGGGTAAGGAGGGTGTGTCTGTATCTGTGTCTTCGGATTTGCCTCTGAGTCCAGCAGTAGCAGCAGCAGCAGCAGAGGTTGCTGCTGTTGTTGGTGGGGTTGCAGTGAAATGCCCGTCCCCAGGAGCAGATGAATTGGCCCCCCGCAAGAGGGGCCGCCCGCGTGCTGCTTCTCGGGGTGTAGGGGAGGTGAAGCGTCGCGGAGCAGGAGCAGCAGCAGCAGCAGCAGCAGCAGCAGATGCTACAGCAGCAGGAGGTGCAGCACAGCAGCAGCAGAAACCTCTGCTGCAGGAGATACAAGAAGACAGTCTGCTGCAGTCTGTACCCTCTATGAGTGACCTCGTTGCTCTAGAGAACAAAGCGTATAGGGGAGTTGATTACTACGCAGTCAGCTACAACGATGAAGCAGAACAGGAGCCGGAGCCGCAGCCTCCATCACCTCCTGCTGCAAGCACTGCAGCTCTTGCTGCTGTTGCAGTTGATCCCCTGCAGCAGCAGCAGCAGCAGCAAGACCAGCAGCAGCAGCAGCAGCAGCAGCANCTGTTGCAGTTGATCCCCTGCAGCAGCAGCAGCAGCAGCAAGACCAGCAGCAGCAGCAGCAGCAGCAGCACCCTGCAGTCGCACAGTTACCTGCAGCAGACAATCCAGCACTCCTCCACCAACTTGGCCTGCAGGGGTTTGCTGCTGCAGCGCTGCAGCAGCGCTCGCTGCAGCAGTCACAGGAGGCGCAGCAGCAGGAACTGAAGCAGCAGCAGGAGCTGCTGCAGATCCAGCTGCTGCTGGGGGAGCAGCGCATGCTTGACAGCCCCACCGAGCAGCAGCTGGCGGCTCTGCAGCAGCACCACGAGCAGCAGCAGCTGCAACAGCAACAGCTCCAGCAACAGCACCGCCAACTTCAACAGCAGCAGCTGCAACTGCAGCAGCAGTTACAGCAGCAACTGCAGCAGCAACTGCAGCAGCAACTGCAGCATCAGCAACACCTGCAGCAGCAGCAAAGACATGCAGACTTGCATTCCCTGCAAGCTGGGGGGGCCCTGGAGCTGCACCCGCACCACGGGCTGCTGCAGCACGCGCAAAGCAGCACCGGCCTGAGCATGCTATCTGCTGCTGTTGCACCACCACCGCCGCAGCAGCAGCAGCAGCAGCAGCACTTGCTGCAGCAGCAGCGTGAAGGCGATCGTCTACCTGGAGTATCT